AACCCACAGTTCCATTCTAGAACCAAGCATGTTGATTTGAGGTATCATTGGATATGTGATGCAATTGAAGAAAAGGTGCTTGATGTTGAGAAAGTTCACACGAATGACAACAACTCTGATATGATGACCAAGTCTTTGGTGAGAAGCAAATTTGAGTTTTGCAGATCACAAGCTGGCTTGGTGGAGCCCCCCAACTAGCTCAAGTGGGAGAGATTGTTGAGCTAGCCCTCCCAAGTTGGGTGGCTCAACAATGTAGGTGCACCTTGAGTGCATGGTGAATGGTAGAAAACTTGGAAAGTTTTTGTTTTGAAGCTGCACAGTTTTTCCAACAGGGACATTCCTATTCTTGAAGAAAATGGGAAAAGCAAAGTGCACTCCTCCAACTTTGGATATGTTGACATGTTAGTCCTTGATAGGATAGTTTTACTATTCTTGTATCCAAAAGCTCCCTATTTTAACTCTTGTTTAAAATTTAAAAGAGTGCAGATTGGTGAGAGCGTAAAAACAGAGTGGGAAAGCAGTGCAGAAAATAGAGTGAGGTTGAGAGCAAGTCTCCCTTATTGATGCTAGAACTTTAAGAGATTCGGATTGTAATCCGAAATTTGTAATCCATTGTTACTAGTGGATTGTTTTTCATCTAAGCAAGTGCCTCATGGTTTTTCCCATTTGGGTTTTCCATGTAAAAATTCCGATGTCCTCTTTATTTTACTTGCTTGCTTATTTTGCAATTTGGGTGCTTGATTGTGTCTTTGATTGCTTTGATTCTGGGCATTGAACCATTAAAACCACAACAAGAGGTTACCCCCCAAATAAAAAAATGTGTAAAGGTTTGACTACGGCATATATGGTCACAGAGTCACAGGAAATTAAGGTCGCAAGGCGACCTGTTAAGCATGGAACCAATGGGTAGATGAGCTGCAGAAGGAACGAGTCAACACCAAATCTAAGCAAAATATTTTTGGTTGGTTTTTGCATGTCTTTGAGTTTATATTATAATGGTCCTCTTGCATGACCTGTATGCATGCGCCACTCGTTGGAATTTTGGTTTATACCAACCTCTGTTGAATTGCTAGCCCAGCCCCTACCTTTTACGCTAAAGTTCCATTCTATTACTTTCTTGTTTTTATTAGAGAAGATAATTTCTCTCTTCACTCTAGAAGATTTGAACGTTTAGCCTCCCATTTTCTAAAACACTACCATTTTTCTAAAACACTATCACGTGTTTGGAAAAGAGGTACAAAGGAAAGGTACGAATATCCTCTATTATTATTATTATTATTTTGAACATATTTGCAAGGGGCGGGTTTCGAACTCAGCCCGGGAAAAGGAGGAATGCACTGGGGTGACTATTGCCACTAGGTCTCAAGGATCAGGTGCGAATATCCTCTATTATTTAAATAAAAAAGATTAGATCTTTACATAAAATCATTTTCTTTCTTTTAATTGAAATATGAAATAAAATATACAATACATACTAAAAAATTCTTGGAAGAGTAAATCTAACAAGTTATTTTGTTTCGATATCCGTTACTCGGTGTCAGTTAACTATTCCACCATACTAACATGGCCTTCATTTCCTTCACAAGGCCCTTTAGTTGTTAAAGCATTGTCAGGTAATAGTTTTATGTTCCCTACATGCCCTACCAAACTCTTTATATCCATTTTAAAACAAAGTTCTATATTAGTAATACAATTATATTAATGTAGTAACTCTTAATTTAAGCCAACGACCTAAATAACTTAATGATCATCTCTTTCTGTTGAAAGTAAAAGATATTGAGTTTAAATCGCATGATATATGAGTGAAGTGACACAAGAAATGAGAGATAATTGCTTAATTTAAAATAAATCACAATATAATAATAATAAATCAATTGAATAAAAAGGGAAGTTGTTGGATAGTAACAAATCAAGACTGTATATATGAATGTGGAACGTGATAATATGGGAAACCCTATTCAACCACGTCCAAAAACCTCTTTTTACACTGATGAGGGGGAACGTTAAATTCTTTAATCTCTTTTAATCTCTGTTGATCTCTTATAAATATACCATAATTCCTCCAACATTTCAACAACTCCATATCCCTATCACCACCATGAACAATAATTTCAGCCTAATCTTCTCCCTCTTCCTCCTCTTGCCCCTCGTAGCCTTATGCACACAAAAACAGGTCTTTTTCTCTTCTCCCATGAATCAATTTATTCACATGTTTCTGCTCCCTTAAACTGAATTTTCATGTTTCATACTGACAGGTGTACATAGTGTACTTTGGAGAGCACAGGGGAGAGAAAGCATTGCATGAGATAGAAGAAACACATCACTCTTACTTGCTCTCCGTGAAAGAGACAGAGGAGGATGCCAGAGCATCCCTTATTTACAGCTACAAGCACAGAATCAATGGCTTCTCCGCAGTTCTCAC